CACACACGCACACACTCATGCACGCGCACACACACACACTCATGCACATACACACGCACACGCACACACTCATGCACGCACACACTCGCACACACAAACACACACACACATATACGCACACATACACGCACGCACACGCACACACACTCACATACATGCGCACACACACACACACAGACACACGCAAACACACACACACACACACCCCACATATACATGCACAGACACACACACACACACACACACACATGCACACACACATATACACAAAGATACTGACACATGTGTATTGACACATGTAGGAATGTGCACACAAACACACACGTATTAACACATATGCATATTGACACATGTATGCACACGCACACAAATACACCCATATTGACACATATGTATACTGGCACCTGTACATATTCAAACATTCAGGCACACACATCCATACATGCACACATGCTCACATTCACATGAAGCTCAGTCATCAGGGAAGGTGATGACAGTGCAAGAAAATGGTGTTCAAGTAGATATCCAGCCATGATCTAGAATAGCAGAGCGAGCTCAGTTGGCTGAATGACCTACTATGCTCCTGTTGTAATGATTGTAACAAGGTCAGCCAGTTGGACCTCATAGAATATGAGTCCTCTGATTGGGACTGTTAACCTGGTCCAATCAGGGAGCCCTGGCTGATAGATATAAACAGGAGTGTCAGAGGTTCTGTTCACTCTGAGAGCTGTCTCTGAGGGAGCTGGATCAGTGTCAACGACTCTCCACGTGTAAATAAAGGGTGACTTGGTGACCAGGATGAGGGTATATGTGTGTGAGGGTGTGGGATACCGGCCTCTGCGGAGTTAGTTCACCAATGTTGCTGCATGCTCTCACGCTCAAAACTGCAGACATATCACAACAACATAGACGTACTCTCACTCACTTACACAAACACCAAAACCCATCCACACACAAGTAATTGTATTCACACATATTCACGTACACTCACCAAAACACGCTCAATACTCATGTGCATGTGCACACACACACACCCTTGCACACATACCTTCACACACACCCTCACGCACACACCCTCACACATGCACAGCCTCACACCACCCCTCACACACACACATTCACACACACAGCCTCACATCTCCCCCCACCACACACACACACCCTCACACACACAGCCTTACACACATACACAGCGTCACATACACACGCCCTCAAACACACACACCCTCACACAGAAGTCCTCAAACACACTCTTACACATCTCTACATACAAACCCTCGAGCAAACACTCTCACACACACCCTTATACACGCATCCTCGCACACACAACCTTACACATGAAGCCTCATATACATTATCACATAAGCACACACACACCCAGCCACACATCCACACAAACCCACACACGCACACACACACACCCCCACACAACCACCCACCCACACACACATCCACACAAACCTACACACACACACACACACACACACGCACGCACACATGCACATACACAACCACACACCCATCTACCCACACACACACACCCCCTCCCCCCAACACACGCACGCACCTCCCCCCCCCACACACGCACACATCCACACAAACCCACACACGCACAC